ACAGCGTTTAAAAACCTCGGCTCTCAAAAATGTGCACTGGCTAAACTATACATGATAATCCCGGTGCTTTCTAGTTCATTCAAAGCGGTGCCATGATAAGCATACACTGTTGTAGAGCACCATTAATAAGGGGAGAGCAGATCAGATAAATCCGTTACCCATTTGACCATTGTCCAAAGAGATTTGGTTCCTACGTAGTATGCCACTAAAATTGTCAATAGTACCTTTGCTAGATCTTTGGGAAGTCAGGCGTAAGCTCGCCCGGAAAATTACTACAAAAAATATGCTTGCTACTTTATGCTGAATCCTATTCTCTGGCCGGATGGCGTAATTGAAAAGACAATACCTGAGTTTTGTAGATACAGGTCAACGTTATTTTACCTGGAGCCGGATATTCGTTGGGTAGACTCGACGAATAAGGAAGACGGACTGCTAAAGATATCTTCACTGCTCAAATGACTAAATGGTGTACAGCTGTTCGCGACATCGTCCTCGATGGGATTCTCCGAGGACCGCGCTAGTGGAGAGGCCTGGAACGGAGACTGTGGGAGAGAGATGAAAAACAGCAAAACCATAGAGTTAGACTAAAGCTGTTTTGACAAAAACGATTGAGCATTTCGGGTTGGAGTATATGACCCCGCTAAAGGGTAACATGCACAAAAACCGGAGGTGAATGTAGGACATCATAAATAAGGATCAGAGTGAAAGCATAAAAGTTAGTGATGGAAGCAGAAGGGTTTCAAAACACACCAAAGGGAAGGCCATGAACGTCTCTCTAAAGAAACAGTGGGTGTCCAACTTGAGTCTCTGACATTTTATCCTACTCCTTAATGGGAATCTAACACGACAGTAACAAAGCAGAAGGCAGATTACACAGCAATCTCTTCCGGAGATGGTGTTTTATAGACTAGACTGATACGGTTCAAAACAGTGCACACGTTAACAGACTTCGGGTCCATCTATTTTTACTAAACGGTAATACAAAATGGCGCGAGGTGACGTGTTGTTAGTGAGTACGTAGACACTGGTAACCTACCTGATTTACGATTTCGCCAGGAAACATTTCCTCTAACACTGAGAAAGTGAGGGGGTTGTCCAAGAGGCTATGCACATTCTGAGAAGACGGTATGATCGTAGAGCTGGGAGGCGGCTTTGAATCTGGGTCTGATGTAACTACAGCAGCATGTCCGCTAGGGAGATCGTCGAATTTTAATTCTGCTTGAGCGAGGACGGGGGTGCCAGGTTGGCTACTTAGGGGGAGACTATCTTCCCCACCAAATACATCCGGAGTTTTACCGGTGATGGCATGAAAGTTAGTTCTAGCCGGAGAGACATCTGGTGCGTCAATATCCAAGGCAGCAGGAGTACGAGGTTCTAGAAAGTCAGAAGCGACAACCGGTAGGTCAGTTACACGTGGTTCCTCCGTTTTTACTGCTGGTTGTAGTTGATCAGATCCCGACTTAACGAGACTTTGGTCTAGAGAAGCTACGACTTTCGCAGGGGTGTCATTAGGAGTCGCAACGACACCACCTGCCTCAACTGGAGAGTAAAATGATCTCGCCTCAACCAGATCAGTTGTTACTGTTGTTGTTTTATGTGACGGAGAAGACTGCAGGTGCGATGAGCCAGACGATTGTCGGCGACGGCGTTTTGATTGCAGCACTAGGGTACCGTCTTGACGATTACGCTTGCTTTGTAAGGGTGTTTCTGTGGGATGAGAGTTGGAAGGTGGAGATTTCAAAGGTTCGTCTGTAGCCAAGGAATGTGGCGGGGAAGTAGGGAGGCCTCGTTCAGCTAGCTCGATGCCGTAGTTGGCACACAAGTCTTCACGGACTAGCTCCTCCGCTTTGGCAATCAACAGCGGTGGTAGTTTATCCTCACTGATTACGGAACCGTCTGAAAGGAGGATGTCCTTAGAGCGTGCAGTGTTCCCGGCATTGTCGCCCTCATTGACAGCTCGAGCACTAAAACGAAATGCAAGACCATCAATGGGTTTTGGAATCATGCGACACTTG